CGCGGCCGCCCAGCGGCCGCGCCCGCTCTCGCGGCGAGCGGCTGAGTCATGCCGGGCCGTGCCAGGCTTCAGGGCAACGATAGGGCGCGTGCGGATTCGCTATTTGGGGCCCATCGCCGATCTATCGGCGATCGGCGATGCATCGCCGATTCCATCTCGAGGTTTCCCCCCGATGAGTTGGTCCCCCCTAATCGTTCCCCCTCGGTGGCCGTGCCGAGGACGGGGGGAGGTCGTCATGAAGGAAACGGGCCGGTCCTGAGATTTGTCCAGAGCCTCTGCCCCAGGGCTGTCAGATGAAGAACTGGTCCTGGGGGAAGGCCCCAGGGTTCAGGACCCATTTCCCTCAGGACCCGTCTCCTTCATGCCAAGGAGAGAGTGCGAAGACGAAGCAAGCGCAAAAACGTAAGTTTCTGGTTTCCGCGCGGGTTTCTTGGGGACCGGCGCTGGACGACGCCTCCAGCGCCGCCCCTGGCGCGCTCCGCGCGCCAGAGTCAGGGGGCCCAGCGCCGATCCAAGTCATCCGCGCGGACCTCCGAAAGTTTACGTTGATGACAAGCGTGTGTCGTCTTCTGTCAAGCAGTGGTGAAGCGGCCTGGCGTGCCTGTAGTCCTGCCAAACAATGTTCTAAGAACCTTTTGTGGTTCCCATGAAATGTTCTTAGAACATGTCTGGTTGGGACTCTCTTGTTTTCTCACATCGGGTTTATGTTCTACGAACATTGTGCTTGTTCTTAGAACAGATTTGGGTTCTAAGAACAGTTCGTGGTAGGACTACAGGAATGCCGGGACGGTCGCTCCCTTCTCAATTCTGTGGTCGCGTGGTGAAGCCCTGATCTCCAGCGTCCTGAGAAGAGAGAACTAATCAGAGCTTCAGGCTGCTCTGCTCGCCGCTGGGCTTGCCCGTTTCGGGGCCCAGGAGGCCCACACAGTTCCCCGCGACAGGCCCACCGTCCCAGGGGCGGGGTCCAGGGCGTTCGTGCCGAGGCCACGGGACAAGAAGCACGACGCCCGAAGTCTGGGGGCTGAGCTCCAGCAGCAGCAGGGCCGACAGGAAATCGGACGGACCGCGGATCGGCACCGTGTCCTGGGCTTGCTACCTTGCGGGCTCCCTCCGCACAGGGCCGACGCACACCTGCGTCTGGAGGAGAGCGGCACTGGAATCTTACAGTTTGGCGCGCTGACCCTCGGCTCGACGGCTCGACTTGCCTAAGAAGCGTCGTGTTGTCGTGCTCTGTGATGTGCATCGGAAAAAGTTTCCCGAGCGCCCCACCCCCCAACGAGGGGTGCCCGCCCAGGGAAAAATAAAGGAGGGGGGGGCGGTTCCTATAACCACACGTGGTTCCACACCGTGGAGGGGAGGTTAGGCGGGTCTCCCCTGGGGATCCCACAAAATCCTTGCTCAGCGCTTGTTTTGGAAAGGTTGAGGAGGTTTCTTCTCCCCAGAACTTCTCCTCGAGGGAAGTTCTTTGGGGAGTTAGGGCGGTTTTTCCCGCGGACTCCCTTTCATCACCCCCCTCAAGAACTTTTCTTGGGCGGTAAGGTGTCTTCCCTCCAAGAGGGGGGTTTGGAGGGGATTCGGGAGTTTTTCCCCCGGAGCCCTCTCCAAAAACGCAACACAAGGGTTCCTGTTTGAGTTCAGTGTTTCTTCCCCCAGACTCCTTCACAAAAAAACTCAAGGAAGGTTTTTTGTTGTTTTTTTCCTAAAGGGTAATAGTGCTTTTCCCCGGGACCACCCCGAAAATAACGCGAATCAGACCCACCCTCATCGATGACTAGCGATGGTGATGATGATGCCAAGATGCGAGGATACCAGCCGTGTGGGACCTTTAAAACCTGTGGGGCCCGTGGGAACTGTGCGACCTGTGCGGTTTGCTGGACGGACCCGCAGGCCCCCCCCATAGGGAGGGGGTTGCGCTCGAGACTTCCTCGCCATGCACTCACTGAAGAGGGCCAATGACCCCCTCAGATTACTAACATGATCTTCAAGCCCAATATAGGGAGGGAGCTCCCGCCTGAGACTTCTTCGCAATTTACTCAAAGACGAAGCCCCCGATCAAGACATCCTCACGATTTGCCCCCTTGGGGTGCTCAAGTGATTTGCCTGCTCAAGTTGGATTACTAGCATGAGGCGGAGATCTCATAAAGGAGACGGTTCGTGCTCGAGATTCACTGACTAAGGAGGCTCCCCGCCCGAGAAGTCCCAACGATTCGCCCCCCTTGGGGTGCCCAAGTGCCACGCCTACGACACTACGCCGGTGCCCCGCTCGGATGACCAACGTGAGGTGGAGACCCCATGGGCGAGATCGCTCGCGCTCGAGACGCCTTCGCGATTCACTGACAGACGAGGCTCCCGATCGAGACGTCCCCACGATGTGCAACCTTTGGGTGCTCGAATGCTATGCCTGCTACACTACGCCGGTGACCCGCTCGGATTGCCAAAATGAGGCTCCCGCGCGAGAGATTCTCGCGATTCACTCACAAACGAGGCTCCCGCTCGGACAGTCCCCGCGATTTGCCCCCGTGGGGGGCCCAAGTGTTTTGCCTGCTACACTACACTGGTGACCCGTTCGGAGTACCAACATGTGGCGGCGACCCCATAGGGAAAGGGCTCCCGCTCGAGGCGTCCTCGCGATTCACTGACTGACCAGGCTCCCGCCCGACACGTCCCCACGAGTTGCCCCCTTGGGGTGCTCAAGTGCTATGCCTGCCACACTACGCCGATGACCCGCTCGGATGACCAACATGTGGCGGTGACTTCAAAGGAATAGGTCTCCCGCTCGAGACGCTTTCGCAGTTCACTGACAAACGAGACTCCCGCTCAAGACATCCCCACGATTTGCCCCCCCTGGGATGCTCAAGTGCTGAACCTGGTTGGGTATTCCGAGGCCCCGTTCGGATTACCAACATGAGGTGCGGGCCCCATGGGGAGGGGGCTCCCGCCTGAGAGCCCCTCGCAGTTCACTCACAGACGAGGCTCCCACTCGGGTCATCCTCTCGATTTGCCCCCTTGGGGTGCTCAAGTGCTACGCCTGGTATAGTTTCCCGTTTTCCGTTCGGCTTACTTACATGAAGTGCGGGCTCCATAGGGAAGGAGGCCATCACTTGAGGCATCTTCACGATCACCCAGGGAGCGGCGAGTCTCGCCTGGATGCGCGTGGCCCCGTACTCCGCTGGACCTGCCAGGAGCCCGCGGAAGCGGTGGCCATTGCGCAGTTCACAACCACCCAGGGAGCAGCGAGGCTTCGGCTCGATGCGCGTGGTCCCTTGATTCCGTTGGACCTTCCAGGAGATCGCGAAAGTGACGACAGTTGCGCAGTTGACAGCCACCAATGGAGATGCGAGGTCTCGTCTGGGCGCGCGTGGCCCCCGAGTCCGCCGTGCCTCGCAGGAGCCCTCGAAAGCAGCGACTGTTGCGCAGTCTGCTGCCTTCCAAGAAAGAGCGAAACCTCGGCTGAGTGCACGTAACCACCAACCCCGCCGTGCCTCCCAGGAGCCCACAAAGGCGGCGATAGTTACGCGGGCTGCAGCCCCCCAGGGAGCAGCGAGATCTCGCCTGGGTGCGCGTAGCCCCCAATTCCGCCGTGCCTCCCATGAGCCCACGCAGGTGGTGACAATTGCGCAGAAAGCAGCCGTGAGGCCCCCGATTCGACGAGGCCCCTCGCCAAGGTGACTAAAAAAATATCCTTGGTACTAGTAGTGCCCCTCTGCTGTGCACCACCCACTCCTAGACAAGGCCCCTCCCCAAGTTGATTAACGAAGCATCCTTGGTACTAGACGCGCCCCTCTGCTGTGCATCACCAACTGCCAGACGAGGCCTTCACTGAGAAATCCTTGGTACTAGACGTGCCCTTCGGCCAGGCGCCACCCTCTGCTAGAAGAGGCCCCCCACCAAGCTGATCAAAACAATCTGTTTGCTATACTAGACGTGCCCCTGTGCCGTGCGCCAGCCGCTGCCGCACGAGACCCCCCTAACCCTTCCAAAAACCTCCATCAAGGGAGGTTCTTGGAGGGGCTACGGCGATTCTACCCCCCGGGAACTTTGGTTGTTTTATTCTTTGGGGGGGAAGGGGGGGGGGAGGGTTCCCCCCAGGAAATCCCGAAAAATCTCCCCCAACTGTTTTTGCCCCCCCACACACACAAAAGACCCACCAACAACACTCCTGGAGGGGTGTTTGTGGAAGGGTCCCGGGGACAAAAACATTTCGACCCTTCAACAAATCTCCTTCAAATGGTTCTTCGGGGGGGGGGTCCGGGGCGGGGAGGGGTCCACACCCAGACCGTTTAATTCACGAATCTTTTTCTAAGCCTCCCTTGACGTGCTCTTTTGGGGGAGGGCCCACCACCACTTGAGGGTGGTTGTTGAACGGCTTCCTGGGGAAAGATCCCCTTAACCCTCGTAAGACATCCACTTGAAGTTTATTTTGCGGGGGGGTCCAGAGGAGAAGCCCCCGTAGCCCGCCCACGAACTCCATGAGCGGAAGTTGTTGTTGGGGGGCCCGTGGCCCCGTCCCTAACTGCGCAACGTCCCCCGGAACATGCCAAGAATATATTCGAGGAGGTTGTTTGGTATGGGTACGGGAGGCTTGTCCTTTGAACCCTTCCGAAAATTGTCCTCCAGGGTCGTATTTATGTGAACGGGCATCCTGAGTATGCGAGAGGGTATCCGCCATCGTTCGGTTGAGCAACATCCGTTCTGATGCCTCTGTTGCTCAAGTCTCTTGATAGATCTGGTCGAGATCGGGGGCTTGCTCCGAGATCTGTCCCATCTCTCACTCCACCTTAACTCGGCCCTGCAATATTGCCCTCCTTGCCCCTCGCTGCACTGCCCTGACGTGGCCTGCGGCTCGCTGACCTGTGCCGCGGGCGTGCCCGTGGAGCCTGTGGATTGCCCCGCGGCGGTCGGCCGCTCGTGGGCGCCAGCGCTAGGCTGCTTCGTGGCAGGCGTCGCCGTCGGGCTGCTGGTTGACCGCGTCGGGCGCTGCGCGCTACGTCAGGGCGGCT